AAAAAAAAAAAAAAAAAAAAGAAGAAAGGATAAAAAAAAAAAGGAAATTCTCATAACAAAATGGCGTCCGATTACGAACCCAAACCCGAACCCGCCGGGTACTCCACGAAGCTGGTGAGATCCGAATTCAGCAGCAGCCGCTATCCGCCGCGGATCACGATGCTCCCCCATCTCGAAATCAACTTCCGATTCATATGCAGATACAAACTCCGCCGCCGGCCGTCTCTCAGGATCTCCGTCCGCCGGAATCTGCTGCAGTTATCCTCCTACAATCAGACAAGAGAGTCCCTGGCCCAGGTGCTCCGGCCGCTTCTGGCGCCGGTGGACGAGAAGGAGATTAGGGTAATCGTCGAGTACGCTCTCGGGAGGGCCTTGAAGGCCGTCAAGGCCCGGCCCGTGGGCCTGGACGTCCTGGACATGTACTTCACCGTCTCCGAGTAGCATGGCCGTGTTCGGTTTGATGATCGGTGAATAGGCCGGGCCGGGCCCAGACGGTTATTGCAAATGCTTGTAATGGCTGAGTGTAAACTAAGGGCGGCCCAGCGAGTGATGGGCCCACGAGAAAGAGGGCCCAAAAAAGTTGAAGATTGAAACTAAAAAGTTGTTTCCCTTTAATGATACGAAGGCGTAAAATGTTGAATTGGCCCTCAAAACTCGAATGATTGGCCCTCAAAACTCAAATGAATGAATATAAGCGCTAAACGCATAGTTAACTCCATTTAGTGCTTGCTTTTTTTCTTTTTTTTTTCTTTTTTTCTTTCTCACAAATGAGTTAATCGAGACCAATGCATTTGTATGGGTCTATTCATTCTAGTCGAAATTCCACTGTGCTCACCTATTTACTTCTCCACACCAGACAAAAAATTGAAATCCTTGAAAGATAACCAGAGATCTCTTATAATACACAAAGGGCAGAGTAACCAAATCATCACAAACACGAACAGAATTATTATAATTATGTCACGTGAGGAAATTATTATCATCATTATGTCTAGAGAGGGCGGTTCAAATACATACACATAACACTGAAAAGAGAAACATTCACGAGGTGCACCTCATACACATGGCAGAGTCGCTATACAATACTTAAAGAGCAAGGAACGCCAGTAGAAAAACGGGGATTCAAATATCAGCCAAACTCTCTTCAGCTATAAAACCAATGCTGAAGCTAAAAGTAATGCAGGCCAGTTCCTTTTTGCTCGAGTCCACCATCTTCATTTGCAGCGAGTATGAGCCCTGCATATATCATCCGAACAGCTTTGTAAAACATCAATCGGTTCAGATACATACACAAATTAAACAACAAATCAGTGTAAATGACTCACAGGTGGTGTATAGCCTGGTAACTCTTGGGCATGAGTGACATTAAATTGACCAGCAGGAACAGGGCATGAGGTCTCATCACAGAGATTGTGATTTTCAGTGTGTATGTGGAATCCAAAGTAAGAAACATCGATTACAAGTTTCCCACCAGATATTTCTTCATCTGTGCCAAAATACGATGGTTTAAGTCTCACAAACCAAACATTTGTACGGACAAACTCGATAATGATATAGATGTTATAAAGTCAGACTCCTATCAAGCCGAACAATCTGTATTAGACAAAAAAGGTTGAGTATCCCATATATGTATATTTCTAAAGGATTGTGTGGCAAAATAACAGAAAAAGGAGGCTATTAGAAAAAGTGATTTTCTTGCAGCCAAAGTGAGAAGTTGGTGGTGCTTGCAAAGACAACCTAGAATCTGAATTAATGCTAAATCCAGAAAAAAAAAAAAAAAAAGAATGAAGCTATTGCTACCTCTTTCATATCCTCAATATACTTAAATAACAGAAAGATGATTACATTGCATAAAAGTCAACACCATGAGATGCAACTGTATGAATCACAAGATATACAACACCAAGAACCAGTTGAAATAAGTCGGTATAGCCATCATACCTGTAGATGCAGTGAGTTGAAACTTGGTATTTTTGCCTTTGGAAATTGGATATGGATCTATATCAAGTTCACTAATGTTGACAGCATAATTGGCCTTCTTACCTTCAATGCAGACAAATCAGAGGACAAAAGCAGCCGAATCGTTAGCACATGCAAGATCGAGGATGCTCAAGTCATTAAGCACTAACATGAAGGATGAATACTGAACTGAGAGATGAACATATAAAACATTCAATCAAATAAAACTGGGGTAGCCGCGTTCTAAGATCATGAGGTCAGTATGTCACTCACGCACAATTGGTCATTTAGTGTTTACTTCAAAGAAATGTTATACGAAATTTGAACATTCTATCAGTAATTACATAAAAGTCAACTACACCGAAATTCGAAAAAATGGGTATGCCCTCATTCAGAAAAGATAATTACAATAGAAAATTCTATGCCTGGTTATACTTATATGTCACTTTAACGAATAATACCACCATAAAATGCTACTTTTTTTCAATTCAAGAACTTGACCATCATAATTCAAGAACTTGACTATCATTCTAGAGCATACAGACAAAAAAACAGCTAGATCCATTAGCCATACAATCCAACGAATTTCTACAACGAGTCGAAGTACATATCTACTTCTCCTAATTCACCAGAAATTCAACAAATCCCCAAATCCAAAAATAACAGCAAAATAGAGAGAGAGAGAGAGAGAGAGAGAGAGAGAGAGATCCTAAATCCAGATATCAAATACTGAGATGAGATGAAAAACAGAAGCCAATTTGGGGAAAATAAGCAACATACTGCACGCGCTAAAGCTGGTGGACGCGGCGTTAATACAAGGCACAATCAGACACAACGCGAAGAGAAGAACACCGATAACCTTCATCTGCACCATGTTTGCAGCTCAAATATGGAGCTCCTGTTAGAGATAAATGAAAATATTGTCTGCTGGGGATGAAGGGAACAGTTTCGTGGTCTCACAGACTGCAGAAAATTGAGACTGATAGAAATTGTAGATGAGAGAGGAGACTCTGTGAAGATTCTTTTCTTGAGCAAACCGCTTCAGGCTCCAAATGGATTTGGATCTGATCCGGAATAAGGTCCGTCTTGTAAATGGCCCAAATCCACGATACAGGCCCAAATGGATCTTAACGGAAAATAATGACACTAACATATCAATTATTATATTTTTATTAGTACTCGATCATGTGCCATGTACAGATGGTTAAATAATTATAAAATATATATACGTATATAATATTAAAATTATAAGTTATATAATAATATCACATTTTATAAAATTTTTGAACATTATAGAAATATTCAACTTCACCACTATATTAATTATTATTATTATTATTATTATTATTATTTATGAAATTTTAAGAGATTTGATTGTACCACCAAAGCCAATCAGCTTATTAAAACAATGCTTAAGTAAATAGTTTAACAAACAAAAAACTGCAATATAATTTGTTATATTATATTGAACTTTCATATATCATTTAGTGTAAATTATATATGTTTAGTTTTAGTAATAACCATTATATAATAGAATAATTAAAAAACATGATTACTTTTTAATTAACCATTATGTTAAAAAAAGTCATTGGGTAAGTTTCAGTTACTAGATTTAAAAAATTATTGAATGTAACAGAAAAAATCAAAATATCCAATAGTTTTATTAATTTTTTATTAGCAATATATAGATTAAATATTCATTGATTATTAAGTTATTTAAGGTTTTAATTAAAAGAAAAAAATAAATATGGCTTTGGAACGCCTTTTGGAAGGAAAACATATGAGAGTTTATTAATTATTTTGCTAGCAATTATATATATATATATTATTAAAAGTTAAAACAGTACTTTAATTTCACTTCTACCAATCCAACGTTATCTTTTTAACTTTTTTTATCTAAAAATATTTTATTTTAGCCATTTTCACTTTTTCAAATCCGAATGTGACGGTTAATTTGTAAAAACACATTTTATGAAAAATATAAAACTTTTGTACAACTTGATTTTATTTTGATCAAATGATTTTTTGAGCACAATTTTTATATGTCTCATCTGATTCTTCTTTTTTTGGACTTAGGATTGATTGTCTAACTTGGATTTGACAATTGGATCTCCTTCGGCTTGATCTTGAATTTCTCTAACATTAATTTGAGATCAAATGACTTATTCTCGCATTAAATATTAGAAATTGATTGATTGAAGACCATTTTTTAACAGTTTCTTCTCCGAAATTGTGAAGTTGGTTTTGCAAATTTCAAAGAAAAGAATGTATTTTTGCTGTAAAAAATATTTACGATCAACTTTGTAAATGTTAGGATCAAATTTGCAACTCAAAATATTCTACGAGACCAAATTTGTAATTTTTGTACTTTTGCATCAACCATCTAAGGCCCATCAATAATCCATTAATATCTTAATGGATTTAATGATTTTGAGACCTAAATTGCAACAAAATAAATTAAATGACCTATATGTTTTTTGTAATCAAATTGGAAACACGTCCAAATTGGACTAAACTTTGCAATTTTTCCTTTTCATATAGGATATTAACTATCAACTACTGTATATTCTTTTTAACTTTTTCTTTTTCTTAAAATAAAAAATCTATTCAAATGGAAATTAAAATTTCTGCAATGAGCACCCCCTTCTCTTCTTGTTGTGTGTCGTCCCTCTGTTCACTGCTCGAAGCATCGGCTGCGGAAGCGTCTTTCTGAGCTCGTCTGGTAGCATACAAGCCTTCCCAAGCCCAACGGGGGTGCTGCTCATCTTCAGGACTTTTGGACAACTCTCTTTTACTCCGGTCAGATCCCAACACTCTCTTTAGTCACCCGTTTTGAGCTGCAAAACACACCGAGATACAATGGTGAATAATCAGCAAGCTAAAAAAGCAAAAAATACACTAAATATGCTCAAATTGAAAATGAGAGAAAGGAAATGAGTCTCCCTTTCGTTCGTCGGAATCTGGCCGGATAATGAAGATACGAATTCTCCCGGCTCAAATCGTCCTTAGACCCGGCACCCTCGGTGAGTCACGGCTTGGTGGTGGTGAATGAACGACGAGCCTGGTTCTTCGGCCCTATCCCCGGGCTGCACGTCACACGCGAGCCAAGCCTCAGCCCAGCCCCATCGCCAAGCCTTCTTCTCTGGATACGGAGTCACCCGAGGCACCACAAAGGCTGTGACTGAAGAGAGGAGGAGGCGACAGTGGCGGCGCTTCGGCGACACTCACGGCAGCACTCACACTCGAAGGTCAGGAAGAATAGAGCATGAGAGAATAGAGAGAGAGAGAGAAAGAGAGAGTGAGAGAGAGATTGGGATTTTAGCGCAACGAGAGAGAGAGAGAGAGAGAGAGAGAGAGAGAGAGAGAGAGAGTGATGTGAGAAATTAGGGAAAGAGAGGCCATTTAAGAGTCATGATGGATAGTAGAGATGTAATCCCGAAATCAAATGATCCAGAGCCAACTAAGTGTGTGAGGGCCAGGCCCAGACGGGAGTTGGGCCGGGGCTTTCTTGGGTATGAGATAGGGATTAGGTTTGGGCCAAATATCCCAACACTTCTGTCTGCTACCAACGGCTTGCTCCTCTCCTCCATCCACGAGCTCAGCTTGACGTTGACAACCCTTCCTCTTTGCCTTGCTTTTTCAATTGTGGATGAAGACCAACGACGGCAGACCATCCATCGAGCCTTCCACCTTGCTTTCTCCGTTATCCACGAGCTCGATTTGACGTTGACAACCCCTTCTCTTCGCCTTGCTTTTTCAGTTGCGGATGGAGACCAACGACGGCGGACCATCCATCGAGCATTCCACCTCGCCTTCTCCGTTATGGCCGTGCGTGGGGGTCGGAGACGACGGATCATTCGGCTAAGTTTGTGGGGTTGGTTGTCTTGGAGTCTGGGCCCTCTCCCGATTGCAGCTTTTTAAGGTTCAAATCTGGACTCTCGCCCGATCTGATTAGTCGTTCGAGTTTTGACTAGAGTTTTGTTCTGAGGGCTTGAGATCTGCGATCTCTTTTCGTTTTTGGTTTGGAATGTGGCCTATGTGTTCGGTAGTTGGGCATTAGCAGCGATTCGTGATTAGTAGGGAAATCTTTATTATATGTTTTGTTGTGTTTTAGGTGTGTGTTTATCAATTTTTCTATGAAGCCAACAGTGTTGGGATCTGTGAGGATCTCATTATGTACAAGTCACGAATTCAATAGCAAACATAAACCTATGCGCAGCGGATCTAAAGGTTTGACGTAGAGAACTTACGGCTTAAAATTTATGTAGACCTGGTTGACCACGAACGGTTGACCGCAAATCACGTCTTGGGTTGCACGAACAAGATCAGATCAAAACTGGATCAAACGGGTGCAAACAGATGAAGACGAATCTTGCAGTCAGACTCCTTTCGGCGGCGCGTGAGGGTGCGTACGGCGCCGTACGACGGCGATGTAAAGGTCTCGTCGAGATGGTCGTCTGGGTATGCTGCACTCCTCAATCGGACCTCCGGTTAGTTCTGTAGGATAAAATAAATTTCATCCCGATTTACCTACAGATCTTCTACTGTATTACTCAATACACCCTTCTTCAACTTATATCAGTGGAGCAACAAGAAGAAGATAAAGCTCGAATGAGATCTAGAGAGAGAGAGACGTGTGAGGCGTGTTTCACTTGAGATGTGAACTCTCTTCTCTTCTCATGAGCTTAATGATGTATATATAGAGCTACAGTAGGGACCCTTAGGAGATTAGAAAAAGAGATCCTTAATTAATTAGACTAACTGTGGGCCAAACTCACTCCTCTAATTAATTAAATAATATTAATGGGCTACCAACATTATATTATTGCACTCCCTTTTCTTAGCCCAAATTACATTGAGACTCCAATAATAATTACTCGATTTACCTCCCCACGTTTAAGATATAATGTCCATTAATTAATTCGATTACTGACAATTATGAATTAATTAATTTATTATTATTTCACCGAAGCTAGCGCTCGTTCATCACATTCTTATTATGCCGGAATTTAATCCACCTGCAGGGTTTAGCATAACAATCCTTCATGAACTCACTCCGGGGACATTATCAAACTAACGCACATGGTGACCGTAAATATCCTAACAGCACATCATATATATAATAATATTACCCAAAAAAGGAGGAATATTGATCCAGTGAAGTGAACCTCACCCAAGCGAATCAAAGTAATATATATTATATATATATCTTCCTGTTTAATATCTTACGAGTTAAGAGAACGCGGTAATTAACGGAGACCTAGTTCATTTACGACGATCAGTTTAAAATGAACTTCTCCTCTCTAGGATCTTGTTCAATACATAAATGTACTAGTGCAACTAATCAGTCAAGACAAACTATACAGTTGTCACTACAACCGTTCGGATGGGGTGTTCATGTCCATCTAGGTTATGAACAACTATTCTTGTTCGCAAGTAACTGATAAAGTGATCTTCAGTTCGTCCGATGACGACCCACTCCATCTAAGTGCAGAACAACAGAACGTAGAACTTGCTTAATCTAACATGATTCTCATTTATAAAGGGCAAATATGTAATAACATGCAAAGTCAAGCTTTCAGTACATAACACAAACAAAAAGTTATGAAGCCAACCTTCTATATACAACAAGTAAATGTTTGTCCTATTTTTGTTGTATTTTTCGTCATTATTTTTTCTATGTTCTTCCCCCGTTTTAGGTCTTTTCATTGGTTTTTTATTCGTATTTGTAGTATATTGTGTGTTTTGCTCTGTTTTGGTCTTCTATGTGTTTTTCGTGTGTTTTTCTGGTTTTTCTTCATTTATGGTGTGCAGGTCGAAATCTTAGGTATCGGATTTCTAGTAAAAATTGGTCGTACAAGCAAATTAAAATAGAAGAGTTCGTCGGCGACAAGCAGGAAAAAACGGAACTCAATTCTGAGTTCGAACGAGTTCAAACGAGCTTGAGACATATAGTCGTGCAAATCAACCGGCAGCTCTCTCAGCCCTCGCGCGCGTGTCACGCCGCGCTCTGTGTCACGACCCGGACAGAGACTTGTCCCTTCCCAGCCTCGCACTGTGGGGCACCTCACGCCGCGACATCCGCCCTCCTCGCGCCGCGGAGCCCTACCACGCCCGCGGCACCAGCCTTCCTCGCGCCGCAGAGCCCACTCACGCCTTCACGCCACGGACCGACAGACTACACGCTTCTCCCAGCTCTACGCCGTGGAGCCCCGCCACGCCTGCGGCACTGCACTCCCTCGCGCCGCGGCACATCCCTACACGCCGCGGGACCCTGACTCCAATATATATCTGCACGGGACCGACATATAAAATTAATCTCTCATTCGGGGTGAAAACCCTAGGGGTCGAGAAAACACGATAGCTCCTCTTCTTCTCATTTTCTTCTCATTTTCTTCTTCTTCTTCTTCATTTTCCTACTTCTCTCAATCTTTCTTTTCCATTTTTCTTCTTCTTATTATTATTATCAAGGATTAAGCTTTGTATTTTGGTATTCAACACTTAGATTGAGATAAATTGTAAGTATTTCTCTCTTATTTAATTCATGAATAATGGTTGATTTAGAAGGAAGGATTATGTGCGTTGAATTCGATATACGTAGCTAATTCTGATTGCTAAGGATATGGGATGATTGTTCTTGCTTAATTCATATTTGTCGGGCTTTGATTTGTTCGTTCTTGTGCGAGTGGTTTCAATTAGGAATTGATGAATTGTTGCTTGAATGATTGACATAATCGAAGAGTGACACTTCGATATTGCAGTTGGAAACAATTGAATGTTAATTTGTTAAGGTAGGGTTTGTTGATTCTATATGATCAGTCGATTAATACTCTTCTGATTAAATTAGCGACTTTTAGAACTGAAAGGGGATAAGTCGTAGACCTACGCTCGCATGAGATAGATGATTTCGTAATTGAATAGGCTATAGGTTTTGGATTGAAATACGTGCTTGTCGATGACCCGTCCCTTGTTACGAAAAGTTATTGGGAGTGGGATAAGTGGTTGTGTTGTATGTTCGAGCTTGTTCGTCTATGTTCAATTCCTTGTTACGAAGAGTTATTGGGAGATAACCGCTAGATGATTAAGCAAGAGTGTCAATCTCGAATCGAACGATTAATTGCCCGATTTTGCTAAAAGAACTTGAATTAATTATCCTCGACTCCCTAGCTTCTATATCATCATTTCATTTATATTTTTAGGTAGATTGTTGATTTCAGTTATTTTGTAGTTGGTAATTATTCACTGGTAATTATTCAACCCCTATCTGATTAGAGTGTTTAGGATTTGTTTCTTTTTGTGTGTGATCGATACCAAAGCTAAATTCCGAACCGCCTTCCTCGAAAGATCGACCCGAGGAACGAATCTTTCGATTTGGTACTCGGTAAAATAAAATAATTTGTACACAACAGTAGACCATACTATATTAATAAAATTATTAGTATTATTTATATAATTAGAGAATATGACATGGTTTACTTGTTGTATATAGAAGGTTGACTCTTCTATGGAGCCAACTGTTAGCTTCATAGCAAAACTGGTGTGTTTATTTATTTCTTTTTTCTTTTGTGTTTTTGTTAAGTCCCGACTGTGTTCGAGTTTTAGTCTCATGTGTTGCGAGTTTCGATGTCTTCCGTTTCGGAAGTGTTTTCGGTGTCAGTTGTACTTTGGCGATCTGTGTAAGAGTAAAGAAACTGTGGGTTTGTCAAATTTTGATCATTGGAGAATCAGGGGTGCGGTCTCACACAGGTGAAGCGTACCATAAGAGAGTGAGCCTAGGTGCACGATAGTGAAGTTCCATCCCAAAATCAATTGGTGATGGGAGGAGTAGCCCACTAGGCTTATTAACTAAGCTCATTTATCTTATCAAATCAATGTGGGTCGACTCAAATGATATTCCAATAGTGTCAAACTTTATTCTAGTTCTTGTGATGTCTGCTGACATTTCGATCGTACTTATGTAATCGAAACTGACAATTTGCCTCCTCGATTAAAAACTCTAATATGACACAAAAGAGTTTTTAACTCAATTAATGATAAATTTTAAATTAATCTTTAAAATTGATTTAGGACTTTTATAGCCCATGACGAGACGAACAAAATGAGGTATGGTTTGTCGATTTCTGAAAATTGATAACTCTAAAATCGATCCACGAAGATAGCAGGAGCACGTATGCTATAGAAAAAATTTCAATTCAAGTTTTCTAATAATCAAGATATCTGATTTTCGATTGGAAGGTGCCATTTGAAAACTTGAAGGACGAGTTTTCTATTGAAGTTAATCTTATGAAAATCCAACGGTCGGATTTGGGTTAGTAGCCTAAAAAAAGCTAACTATTGATCAATAGTTTTCTAAATACTTATCAAAATCCGACTGTTGGATTTTCATAAGATTTACGCGTTATAAACTTTGTCCTACTAGCTTTCGAATGACACCTCCAAATCGAAAATCGGATATCTTGATTATTAGAAAACTTGATTTGAAATTTTTTCTATACACACATGCTCCTACTATCTTCGTGGATCGATTATAGAGGTATCAATTTTCAGAATTCGACAAATCATATCTCATTTTGTTCGTCTCTTCATGGGCTTTAAAAGCCCTAAATCAATTTTAAAGATTAATATAAAATTTATTATTAATTGAGTTAAAAACTCTTTTGTACTTATTAGGGTTTTTAATCGAGGAGACAAGTTATCAATTTCTATTACATTGAGAGGCAAATTGTCAAAAAATAAAGTTTTTATTGCAAACTCAAAAAAAGGGCATATTTTGGGAGGTTAAAAAAAAATTTCTTTAAAAAAAAGAAAAAAGAAAACGGTAAGACTCGAATAGTATATTTCCACAGGAGTAATGCTATAGGTACATAATAATGTACATAGATGTGTACATAACACTTATATTGAGTGGGTCGTATCAAAAATAAAAATTAAGTAGACCCCACTCCACATGAGTGTTATGTACACCCCTATATACTTGTACTCTTTTTCTTTCCGTAGAAATAAACCGTACCCCATTCAAGAAGGAGATCGAGGAGTCATCGGTTTGGAGCTTTTGAATTTTGATTATCCTTTAAAAAAAGGGGGTGATACGGACCACGTACTTCACAAGGTATTTCGTCTTTTACTTTCGAGATCTTTAGATGTTCATAGGAAAATCTTTTGTCTTCATTTGGGACCTTCAGCCTGTGTGTTCAGATCGAAACTCGTTTCCAAATTAATGTCTTCAAATCGGAGATGACTAACGGCGGATTCACATGTTTATGAAGCTTGAAAAAACTGCGCCTCAATGCAACTGCAGTAATTTTGAGGATTATGCTGGTGGTGTTTTATTCCATTTTTTTTTTCGAAGAACTAGGTTATTTTCATTAATGGGATGCTACCTATTTCTTAAGACTTGGTATTCGCAAAGTTGTTTTGGGATATTTTGATATAGTTATGCTAGCAATGATCCCCTGTAACAGTTGAGGTCCTTGAGAAGTTTAGGGCTCAAAATTGATAGAATTTGGATAACCAACCACAAGAAGATCTTTAAATTCATGGCTGTTGAGGCTTGGATTCTTGTTTTCCCGACTTGTGCAGATACACAACAAATGGTGAAGCAAAAACCGAGAATTACCCGTCGAGAACATACCAAAAACCAACAAGAAGATTGGACTCTGGTGAAGAAGCAGAAAATCACTATCTTAATCCCACCACTGCCCAGCATAGGCGAGGATCAACTACAAGCAAACCCTGCAAATTGTAGCTCACAGTCTTATGAAGAAACACGAAAATCTAAGTCTTTATCTCCAAAACCCTGCAACTTAGCTTTTCAAAAGCCATCAGGTTTCAGCAATAGGACTGCTTCAGACAATTCCCCACCTTGTGGAGAGGGCAAGGGCAAAAGCGTAATATTTTGTGATGGTAGTGCTATTCCTGATCGAAGGATGCGTGCCTCGTATCTCGAGAAGAAATTAAAGAGGGCTGGCGGGTTGGAGAATTGGCTGCTTTCGCACGGGCTCGGCCATTTTGTGAGGGTTTTCAGGGCAAGGAGCGTGAACAAATTCCAGCTGGCGAATCTAACTATGAAGAAGCTTAAGGATATGGGGACGGAGGCCGTTGGGCCACGGAGGAAGTTGATGCATGCTATCGACTGCCTCTGTGAACCCCACTGTTTTCTGCAGTTTTCTGGCGTCTTTTGATATGTATAAGAATTTTGTATTGATGTTTGTAAATGCAGAGTCTTGTTAAGTTTTTTTCTTGATGCAGTGTTTTCACTTCTCTGTGTTGATTAAGGAATGACTGTTGTTGTACTTGTATGGAGAACTCATGGGGAGAGCTTGTTCTGTGTGATATGTACAAGGCACAATAGGTTTTATCAGAATATATATTTGGATTATCCTTTTTATTTATATCTGTTTTTTCTCATCTACTTCACCTATCCACCTACATTTTGTTTAAAGATCCAGATTCTACAAAAAAATTGCATAGGAAAGAACAATGCTTGCACTAAAAAGTAAAATATAAAATGTCAGAAGATAAAATTAGACATGCCCATGAAATATTGTGAAAAATTATTGGACATAATAAGAGAAGACTTAGAGCATCTCCAGTAGGGATGTCAATGTCAAATATTCATGCCACGTGTTTGTAAATAATTGGATAACTCATCCCTTTTAATATCAACGTCTGGATGTCAATGTCAAATATTCATGCCACGTGTTTGTAAATAATTGGATAACTCATCCCTTTTAATATCAACGTTGACAGTGTAAATAACAACATCCAAATACTTCGTACAATGCACACTTTCTTTTGTAAGGGATTCTGAGTCATACTGTCAAAGAGACTGTTTGGTTTCAAACAGTGGGTTTCACTACTGTCAAGCCACATTAGATAAAATTCTTTTGTAAGGGATTCTGAGTCATACTGTCAAAGAGACTGTTTGGTTTCAAACAACCACGACAGAACCCATTGGAGAGAGCCACATTAGATAAAATTCTTTTGTAAGGGATTCTGAGTCATACTGTCAAAGAGACTGTTTGGTTTCAAACAACCACGACAGAACCCATTGGAGAGAAAAAAAAACGGTGTTAGTCCGCACTGGAGATGCTCTTATTATATCTCATATAACATAAATAATATTGACAAACAAATGCAAAATTGAAAATAATAAAAAACTTCAATTCGCGCCAGGTAGGGATCGAACCTACGACTTTCTGCTTAGGAAACAGACGCTCTATCCACTGAGCTACAGGCGCTAGTTGTTTGTTTTGCAAGGACGGTAGAAATTATTGCAGAGCCGTGGGTTGTTAATGAGAGCAATTTCATTTCTAGTAGGAGAATTTTAAAAGAGCAACAGGAGCTGGTTGTTTGTTTATACCGCCGACCAGCTGCCAAATCCCGAACTCTTCTGGCTCTCACTAGCTATGCTATAAAAAATCAGAATACCTTGTAAAATTTCTTCAAACCCATGAATTCCAACTGAACCGGTTAGCTAAATCATGAAGGGAAATGATATATCCCCTTGCCAATCCAAGGTTCACTTTCCTTATCTTGTGCAGGCAATAAAGCAAGATCGCTCATAAAAATGAATATGTCACTTTTGAGTATGATTTTGAATTTATATTAAAATAATATTTAAAATAAGATTATTAAAGTTAATTTGATGTAAAAATAAAAGAAAAGTGATTGAAAGTAACAGTTAAAATTATGTAAGTAGATGAATAGTGAATTAATGTTGATGTGATATGTAAGGACGATTGATTAATATTATTTAATTGTATTGATAATATTGAGAATAATGGAAATTGAGCTAAAATTAAGTTAGATTTGAATTGAAATTGAATCTTTTTAGGAAAATTTACAAAAACGCAAGCACTCACGCAGTCATGCATTCATAATCATATGAATGACGGTATGGTCTCTTATTATGTTATACTGTCCTATCCTATAGCCAGCCAGACAAAAGTTTTCGAAGATTTTTTACACTTCGGGTTTTCTGGTTTGGTTCTGTCCAAGGCCACTTTAATATCACTAAGCTAAGCTGTTGAAATGTGCACATAACATTCTTCTTTCTCATTGTTTTGCAGAGTAGCAGCAATCAACGTGATTCAAGTTAAATGAGTATAAACTAAGTATTTCTATTCAACTG